TGTCACTAATACCATACATTTCCAGCTTGTGCATTCGTGGAGAATGCGGTATTCGAGCAAAGGCTTTGGCAAAATCTGTAAAGATTGCATGTGAGATTTAACCACCATCATAGGCCTGGGTTAGACTTCCCATGACATATAGCATGTTAGTGATGCATGATCTGCCAGGAACAGAGCCGTGTTGAAAAGGAGAAAGAAGGCTGCTTTTCTTCAGGTGTTCAATAATGTCTCTAAATGAGATGTTCAAAAATGTCCTGGGGACGCTAATTAGACTTATGGGTCTATAGCTGTCGGAGTGATGCCGAGGTCCTTTTCTGTATATCGTTCCTACTATTGCCTTTTTCCAGGCATCAGGGAATTCGCCTTCATCTCGGCAGTTCTCAAACCGCCGCCCGTAATGTGGGGGCTAGCACAGTTGCTGTCTCTTTGAGTATTCTGGGATGGACCTCGGCTGGGCCCATTGAGCTATAAGGGTTTAGTGCCCTTAGAAGTTTGAGTACTTCTTCGGTCTTACCAATGAAGTGCTTGATGGGGGCTATACCTCACTTAGTTTGTAGAGGAGGGAAGAAACTAGCTGGAGCGAAATTGAAAATATCTTGGAATTGAGTTTGGAACGTATCTGCTGTCTCGTCAGGTGAGGTAAATGGGTATCCGTCAGGAAGTTTCAGGGCTAGAGTGGAGCGAATGGGTTGTCTTTTATGACGAAGAAATTTGAAAAAGGGGGGTTTGTTCTTACCCTGACCAAGATATCTTTTTGTTGCCGGTTGAAGAACTCCCTAATCTTCCTTCTGCATAGGTTCCGGATATGTTTGAATTTATTCACTTCAACACCCAAGTTTGTGAGCTTATTCCGTGCAAAGAGGGTGTTCACTTCGTCCAAAAGTCGACGTATTGGATGAGCTAGAAGAGAGTGGCTTTTGCTGGTATAAATATTTTGGGAGCGAACAAACAGTCGCCTGTTCGGAGAACGTTCTCATTGCATCCGATTGTTTCTAAAGATACGTTACCAGAGGTCAGACTTGCTGCCATGTAAGCTGTTAGAGCAGCGAAGTTAGTCAGTCTGAAGGACGGCAGAGTTCTTGGTGCTGACTTCTAAAGGGCGATGCACGATGAAGTCAAAGCTGAAAAGTGAGTGGCCATTATTACCAAATGGACAGGGAGTATGGACCTCTTCGATTTGGTGCAAATTGTCCGTCATCACCAAATCGAGTAGAGAAGGGGATTGACCCGGGCGAAGCCTGGTGGGAGGGCACACATGCTGCTGCCAAGATATCTCAGTAATAAGATCTAGAAGGGGCTGATCAAGGAAGATATCACTGGAGTTTGTTCCAACCCAGTCAGTGGGTAGAGCGTTAAAGTCACCGGTTATGACGAGGTGTCTAGAGGGGTAGCAAGACTAAAGGCAGCGAAGTTAGTTTAGAAAGCCTGTGCCTGTTTCTGGTCGCTGTTTGGGGGGTGATAGATGACTCCTAGTACAAGGAATCTATGTTGGAGAGAGATATTTTTACCCGTAGAGTGTCTATCGTGAGGTGCAATCCTGGGGAACTTAAATGACTGGGGGGAGGGATTGGCTCATATAGATAGCAATACCACTGGCGTGGTCTCCTTTTGAGTGGCTCCTGAAGAATTTATAGCCATTTATTTTGACTTCACCGTCTGGGATATTTGCTGTCAGCCATGTCTCTGTTAGATTTAGAATATGTGGACGTAGATCTTTTATCTTTTGTCTGAGTTAAAGTCCCTTGTTACCAAGGCTTAAGCAGTTAGTGTAAATGCATTTTAGCACTTGTTCAGCAGAAATTCCACCAGTTTTAGGATAAAAGGGGTCTCTTATGCTTGGGTTTCCATTGGAATTACGTTTTGAAAGAGCTCCTTCCCTTTACTCTTGATTTGGGGTATTCTGCTCCTGCAAACGTTTCGGGTTCCCGCGGTCCGAGTACGGGAGAGGTCAGGAGGTTTTTGCCTGATTTTTCTGCTTCTTCTCGTGAGGAAAATGAGACGCTTTCTAGTCTGGGGGTTGGGGCATCTTGACCGCTTTAGGAAAAGTGAAGGCAGTGGATTTTCGGTGATCTGTGAGCTTTAGAGACATCAATAAAGTGACTTTTGGAGCCAGTCGCTTAGGTTTGTGTGGTAAGGTGGCAGGTTCTCTAGGAAGATTGGGAAAATGAAGACGCTATTTAGGGGGATATGCCCGTAGGGATGGAGCCACTTGAGACATGAAAATCGGTGGAATCCCGAGAATTCTCTTATTCTCAGGTTGCCGTTTTTCTTGAATAATGCACTTTCTGCTTACAAACTTTTGATGAGTAAGTCTCTTGTTCCTGCACACGGGTTTTGTTTGCTTACTAGTCTGTCTGAAAGTCGGTTTTAGGAAGCTTCGGTCGGCAGCGAGAGTAGGCTCATCGTCANTCATTTCCTCTGCAGGTGCTTGTATTTGGGACCTGCAGACAAGAGGGACAGAGGATATTTCGAGGAAGGGTGCGTCGGAGATTAGAGTCACGAAGGCCTTCCACAGTACATTGAAAATCCTATTCTGGAAAGAGCTCTGGCTGTCCCTCATCCAGAGTGAGCTTCCTAAATCCACTAATTCCTTTGGCAACCGGTTCCTACTGTTCAGTACTCTGTTGCTGAAGAAGCTGGATTTGATAACCAGGTTGTACCGCTGCTTTTTCATTTTGTACCCGTTCCTTGGTGGATAGCCTGCTTACTCCCGGGAACTGTTTCGCAACCTTAAAGGTCTCCAGTAAATCCCTCTCTCGTCTCTTTTCTAGTGAGAAGAGTCCCAAATCAGTTAGCCTGTCTCGGTATGATTTAACCTTTTGACTTTAAATCAATCGGGTGGCTAGTTTTTGTATTTTCTCTGAACAGGCTGCATCTTTTTTAAAGAAGGGTGCCCAAGCCTGCACGCAGTACTCGAAGTGCGGCCTAACTACGGTTTTGTACATGAGGAGGAATACGTCGGGTTTCCTGCATGACAGTATTGAATTAAGCCTGAACAACTCGCTTCTCGCCCTCACCGCAGCCAGTGCACACTGATTCTCCCAGCGAAAATCTGTCCACACCGACATGTCCAAGTCTGGGCTCATTTTTACAATCGTTCAGGTGAAATCCCATCCACCTAGTTGGATTGACAGTTGTTCATCAGCACGAGATGGTAAACTGCTTTTCTCTGCAGTCAGTGGGAGGTCCCATACTGTTGCGCGTTCCGTTGCTCTACGCAGGTCATCCTTCAATTGCTACCGACTGGTTGACCCCACTATCCTGACATTATCTGCAAAGATAAAGCATGGCGATCGTCGGATGGAAGCCAAATCGTCTATAAAAATGAGGAACAGTAAGGGCCCAAGCACTGAACCGTTTGGTACTCCACTGGTGGGTATGGCTTTGGCTGATAATTTCACTCCTATCCTCACGGTAAACATGCGACCTGACAAGAATTCCATGATCCAATTATGTATCTTCCCGCCCATCTGTGTTTGAGCTTAGCTAACAGCAACCTGCTGTTGACGGAATCAAAAGCTTTGCAGAAGTCTAAATAATAGACTTCCACAGATTTGCTCTCATCTGACCTCGAGGTTACCTCATCTAAAAACCACAGTAAATTAGATAAGCATGATCTACCCTTGGTGAACCCATGCTGTTGCTCAGTATGCAGTGATTTTCGCCGTAAATGCTGTGTAATGTGCGTCCTCACTATTCTTTCTAAGCACTTTCACATTACACTCGTTACACTCACCTGCCTGTAATTCTTAATCTGCGTTTCTGCTCCTACCTTGTGAATGGCAATAACTGCAGTTGTTTTCCAGTCCCCTCGTGGATGGCCCTGATCTAGGCTGGTTCCGTATAACTCTCTTAGTGGTCCCGCTGCAATATCCGCTATCGGCTTTACGATTGCCGGGTGGATTCCATTGGGCCCTGGAGACTTAAGCTCAGCTCAACTAATATCCGATGAACTGTTTGTGCCTAATGATACATAAGTATTCTCCATTTACTCTGTTTTGGGGCGAGATACAACAGTTCGAAGTAACTGCGATCTACATTATGCACACCACTGAAGTATGTGCAGAAGGCGTCTACCTTTTCCTGGTTATCGATGACGGTCCTACCTTCCTAGTTTCACCTCATAGTACCTTTTACCCGTTCGACTGAACGAGACTGCTTCGTTACGATGCCTCGTGTATTGTCTTCAAGCCATCTAAAAGAGCTTTCCAGCTTCAATTTCTGCGTTTAATCACCCTACCTACAGCAGCGTGCCACCATGGCGGTTTCTTCCTTGAACCTCTGTGGGTTAAGGGAGCAAACTCACCTAGGATGTTCACCAGGTAGTTTCTTATTATACTCCAGCGTTCCTCCACGTCACCTTGATGCCTCGAACTGTACCAAAGCAGCTGAGTTGCCTAATCTCGGAGTAGATTCACGTCTATTTTCCTAAAGTTTCTACCCATCCCCACACGGGGTCTGGGTGGTTTCAAATGAGTTGTAAACTTGGTAGGAATAAGAGGGAGATACTCCAGACTTTGCCCCTCTTCCTCTTGCGCTGTGATGATCAGGTCCAACAGCCACGGCTACTGGCTTTCCCGATACCAAGTGTTCTCCTTCACGTGCTGATAAAGGGCCCAGTAGTGAATTCGTTCGAGGTAGCTTTCGCTTGAACCCCGAGGACACCTCCCGAGCTTCCAGTCAGAATACCTAAGGTTGAAGTCGCCCGTGTAACGACCACTTTGGTCTAATTTCCAGCTAGGTTGTCTAGTTCCTGTCAAGTTTCTTGGTCCTCTGGTTGTGTGGCACTAGGACCTCTATATACGCAGGCAATGGATAATTTTCTGCCATTTATAATAAGATCCACTGCAACTAGCTGCTCATTGAGAATAGAACCCATAGTGTTCAATTCTACTAAGCACAAGTAGGGTCTTAGTAGCAGGGCTATTCCTCCTAATTGCTCAGAGCTATCCCTATTCGGTACTTTGAACTATACTAGGGTTGAAATCACTCTCTGAGAGTCAGGCTTCTGTTACGACTACCGCGGTAGCCTTATAGGTCTCCGCTGCCATCAGAACCTCGGCCCACTGTTCCAGACACTGCAAGCATTTGTATACAGCGGTGCCATCCTCTCCTGTCGTTTCCCCATTTCGAATTTCTTCTCGGGCAGAGGACCCAAAAAGAGACCACGTTTTCGAGGCCTCTAAATCCATTTCCTGGCGTGGAGCTGCACAGCTTATTGTACAATTCTGTCCCCTGGACTCTGGTGCCCTCTTCATGGACGTGCTAGTTGCACAGGTAGTTTCCCCGTCCCAAAGAACTGTGTCACTTATTCCTGAAGACTTAAGGCAACTCTGCCATTCTTCTTCTTCTAATAAGTCCTCCATGGCGAGATTGAGCACAGGGTCACAGCTATGAAGACCCACTTCCGCATTTTAGAAGGGGTATGGTGTTGTTTCAGTTCAGGTCAGTTAGTACAGGACAAACAGGGCTCTTGCCAATCCAGCGTCGAGGTCCTTGTATTGTCCGAGGATGGAAGTAGCTTCCAATACTGCGTACAGATGATTTGGTACCTGTGATTCTGTCAATATAGCCCCGCTTTTAGAACGTTGTCTCCTTGGGGTTGGCATACACGATTCGGTGAGCGAACAATTGTTTTCGGATATTCCCATTCACACTCTTATATATCATACGGTGGAAACATTCCTGCATAATGAAAACCATTGGCTCAATTTAAGGTCATTAGTTGGAGGCAGATAGTGTAACGGCAATCCAAACAACGTTCAATACGAATCGTAATGTCTCGGCTTCGATTGACTAAATTTCCAGCACGTAGGAAAAGAGTTGAACGACATTTGAAATTTCGTTTCTATTATAGGCATACATCAATACATATTTGCGACTTTCGAAACCATCCTGGGTGTCGGTTTCAGAACTACAAACAATAGAGCAAAGCATGGCGCGAGACCACAAAGATACCGAGAGGGTAATGCGGAGGCCGGGTTAAAACAACTGTTAAACGTTGAGTTCATAAAAGAGAAAGAAGAGATAAGAAAATGAAGAAGATGGGATTAGGAAAGCAGTGTGTACAGACGCTGTTGAAAACCGTCACAGACAGTCAAGAATGTGAATGTGTCAATGTGTGTGTAAGAATGTTTAGCGTGTTTGTTGATATCACTTTTCCCTTCTTGGGTCAAGTTCTGTTTAGTTTTTCACATTCGGCCAAGGCAATTGGAGCGCTTAAAACATTCTTCTTTGGGCAAAATAGTTGGGGTCTAGTGAGCGAATGGCAATCACCTCGTTCATAGCTAATGTCCAAACGTGGGCCGCCCTGGATCAATTGATTGGGATGCGATAAACGACGTGGAAAGCTTTCTCTGGTTCGATCTTGTGTCCAGTGTCGACGGGATGACCCACGATCGTCCTTCAGATACAGCCGGTTTTCCCCTGACTTAACCATCTCTGGTGCTGCTTTTTAACGCGTTGAGATAAACGCATTACCGTACGACCTATGAAGCAAGCGCTACCGACGCAAGTAAATGAGTAAATTATCGTGAATGAGGTCAGTTTTGGCAGTTTGTCTTTCACTTGCATTCGCATCACGGGAGATGTAGAGAACACTGGTCTATGTTTGGTTGCAATGGAATTGGAATTTACAGCCACTCGCAGTGACTGTGCTAGATTTTCTGTGGGTGAGTTTGCCTAAAATGGAATCTTCATGAATAGTTCTTTCTTGAGGACACAGATGTAGTTTTTTCTCCTGAGTTAACCCAATGTTCTCATCGATGAAGGTTTTCCGATAACCATTGTTCTGTAGCGTTTGGCTGATGAAGCGCAGTTCTTCATCCAGTGTATTTGCTGAAAAAATCTTCTGCGCTCTGAAGGCTAAGCACCGGACTAGATTACTTTTATCCCTCACAGGAATGAAACAAAAGACGTTGGTAAATTGACTACCCCATGTTTTCTTTCGGTGGGTCTGTCTTCCCACTGATCTATCTTCTTTCCTTGACACGATTTCATCCAGAAAGGCCAATATGTTTTTCGTTTCAACCTTCACAATGAATCCCAGTGATGAATGTGGTAAACGATTTCAAAAACAATCATTTCAGTTCAGTTAGCGAACGATGAAACGCTTCCAGTTTTTATTTTCTAGAGGAGTTAGCTTGACTTGAAACACTGTTATTCATTTATTCTGCTGTTCATACAAGGGAAGACTTTTAAATGCAGCATGGCAGTCAGCAAATATATATAAATTGGGAATATAGAAACAAACTGAATTCAGTTTTGTTTGTGTCCAAGACAGTGATAGCATTTCACAATGTCCATATTCTTGCCCATCCCTAATCATCGTCCAGGTCGTCTTGCACTAATGCGTCCATCAGGCCGACGATTTTTACATCATCTGTGAATTCGAAGCATTGGTTATACAGGTTCAAGTAGGTAGATTAGTAATAGTAGGGGTCCGAGAACTGAACCTTGAGGTATCACACTTCCTCCCCTACCTGCGCTCTAAATGTCCTTCCAATCAGGTTTGCCCTGATCCGAGTCAATATCTTGTCTGCTAAGCCGAACCACTGGGATTTGGACAACCATAATTCATGGTTTACCGAGTCGATGGCCTTCTGGAAAACTAAGCAGATTACTCGATTTTTTCTCCCCCGTTGATTATCCTCGCTACTTCATCCAATAAGACAGTAGGTTCAAAAATCAAGACCTCTTGCCCACGAACCTATGCTGCGATCCACCAACCAGTCCGTACCATTTCAAGTGATCAACTATTCCGTCACAGATCGCTCCCTCCGTCACCTTGAGCATCACAGAAGTTAGGCTGACAGGCTTGAAACTTTCCCAGGTGCCTTTGTATTCACCCTTACGGATAGGCGTGATGGTGGCGTGTATCCACTCCTCTGGCAACGTTCCAGCTTCGAGTGAAGCATTGAAATGCTCGGCCAACGAATCTGTCACTATCAAGGCTAGTGGATTCAGGATGACGGGATGGATGCCGTTCGGGTTAGCTGCCTTGTGCTTAACCAAATATAAGATGCTTCTTTCGACTTCTTCACTGTCAACTAGTTGACTGTTCGTTACTTTTACCTCTCTCAGATAGGTTGGGTATACCGTTGTCTGCTCTTTTTGAAAAATCTCCGTAATACTTTTCCCTTTTTGCAGTCGGTTTTCGCCTCCATCTCTTAGTAATCTCTCACTCTTCCAGTTCCACTCCAGAGGTATTTCTGCGACTGCACCTACCCGTAGTATGCCTTGGGATTTGTTTTGGTGTTTTTCGCAACTCTCCTCATGCATACTTGCAGTCTCTTTGTAATCTAGTGGTTTTATTTCTTGCCGCCACGTACTGCTATAGGCTGCAAAGGCCACCTTTCGATTTGTAACTTCTCCAGGCCNTCGTAATATTAGCCTTACGAGCACAAGTTCTCCACCATAGTAGGGTTTCAGTTTTTTAATACTCTGGGTTGGTGTGACTTCGTTGGTGACGTTTATTATGGTTCCTCTAATTACTCCCCAGAGGACCTGAACGGATCCCAGTTCCGCCATCCAGTTCAAAGGTGAAGATTTTCCGATGAGTTCTACTTATTGTGTTTTCTATTCAAATTTCTTCCCCTCTTATCGAGTACTCGGGTCCCACTCAGGCTGTACGATAGACATAGTAAATATGTTCGCACCTCCCTAACGGGGCTTTCATTTAGATTCTGTCAATATCTTTTAGGCACCGGGTTATGACTAGGTCTAGTATCAATCCAGCTTGACCAAATCTACAGGTTTTCCTGGTCGATATGATTTATTGCGTGCCTGTGGAGCGTGGATGTCAGTCGCTTTCCAGATGTTTCTCTTGGCTCCACCCAGGTCCTCCAGCTTATTTCCGTAGCGTTGAAATAACTAATGACAAAAAGCTTCAGTTACCTTATGTGAGGAACTGAAGCAGTTCGTTGTTCTCGTCTATGTCCAGGAACTGTACTCGGAATACGCAAGCAATAGATAGCCCTAAACCTCCTAGTTTGACGTGGGTTTCTATTGCTTGTATATTTGACGCTAGGTTTCTCTTGCCCTCTTTGCAATCATTGTGTTTTGCTATGGGAAGCATCACTCCGCCACCTATCCTGCCGTCTTCCCTGTCGACTGTAAGAATGGTAAGGTACGGTAGAGCTATTTGATTGACTCGATCATCGTTTCTTAATCATGTCTGTGACTGCGATTTTGTCTTCGTTGTGCAGCCATGCCCGTAGTTCGCATCATTTCTCCATAAACTTGCCTCGTTAGCGTAAATAACAAATGAAGGAGCCATGCTTTTTGATCTGGTGCCAATATCGCAGGTATTATAGTGCTCGGTACCAAGTTCAAGCAGCTCTTCCGTGTTTTGAGGAGCCCCTAGGTGATCCCCAACCCGTGATTTGTCTCGGCGTGCTTCTTGTTACGGGTCTTTCGGTGGTGAACGCGAAGCTATGACCATTGGAGCAGTGCACACTGTTCTCGCACCCTGGTGCTTTTACGCGTGCCTTAGAGCTTTTCAGTTCCGTATCACCTAACTTTGAGATTAGAATTTTCGGTGAGCTTCCTCCATGTATTCCTGTTTCTTTATCTGGGCTGAATTGCGGTTTTCTCCTGTTCCCAGAGTGATCATCCGGTTCTACTCTGATAGTGCCTCTGATATTTTTTGTTAACGTACCCGCCACCTCAAGGAACTTGTCATTGTTTCGTGGATTGGAAAAGTCCATTGGCATGTATCTAGGATGTGCGCTGTCTTGACAGTGCCACTAACCCTGCCTGAACACTTTCTTCATGGCAACATGTCCTGACATCTCGATCAGGCTCAACAAGTTCGTGACGTGGTAGAGAGCGATCTCTCTGCCTGCTTTCTTTAATGAAATGCTCAAGTATCCCTCTGATGATTACATTGCGATTTCTCTAGCTTCCAAAAGTCGACCAAGGACCATGGTTACTTTTCCGTTACTCTGTTCCACTTTGTGATTCTATCATTCATTTTGGCCAGTCTTTCCTGTAAGCCGTCCCACTTATCCTCGTAATGACGTTCAACTCGCTGTACTCGCTCGCTGTCACTAACATTCTAGTAGCTATACCCTTTTACTTTATCTCGATAGGGGAACGGCTTCCCTCTAGCCTGTCGTTCTTTTCATTTTCAACTCTGTTTTCTGGGGTTGTGATATCTAAAGAACACTTTCTAGGCGCTGGTTGACATTCTAGGCGGCTTGGCGACGAGCGACAGCTGATTTACCATCGCTCTTGCCTTCGTTTTGCACTCAGTGCA